TCTCTCTCTCTCTCTCTCTCTCTCTCTCTCTCTCTCTCTGTCTCTCTGTCTCTCTGTCTGTCTCTCTCTCTTTCATGTTTTTCTGCCACAGAGATTCTAGAACTGCATTCTACACTGCAGTTTACATACGTACTTTCAGGGTCACCTACAGAAAAAAGCAACAAATAGCATGCTGAAGGCCAAAACAATAAATAAATAAAACCAAAAGCACACAAGTCATCCATCAAAAGAAAGCCCTACTGATAAATTTTTCCAAAAGCACTACTGATACAATATTGCTTGCATGTCATGTGGATCAAACATCCAAAATGAGGCCTTGTATATCTTCTGCATGATCTAGGGTGTTTGTACCTCTTTACTGATTGCGCAAGTGTGTATATTTAACTTGCCTTTGCTAGTTGCAGACACTGTGACAAAATTCATAAGGCTATAATGAAATGATCAAGCCATGAAAACAAATCACTGCAAAGCTTATATATCCTAATTTTTGTAATTTTATATGCCTATTTATATACTGTTTAAGAAGAACCAGGGGATATGGAACTTTTGCATGATAGACTTTATATTTGTATGATTTGATGAAGACAAAGTCTTATTTAGTAAGTAGTTTGCCAAAATGTATAAATATAGTGTTAAAGAATTTCAACTCTGGGAAGATTTGAAATGCAAGTAATTACCTAGAAATTTATGTACTGTAGTTTGATATATTTTTAATATATGTGATATGCTTTCAAATATAAAAAGTTATACAATCAATATATGTATTTAGGTGTATAGATAATTGTTAGAAATAATCTGAGATGAGAAAACATTGGAGTATTTATGAGAAAATATGATGTAATATGTCAGGTAAGTGTTGACTCCTGGAAAAATAGAAGAACATGTTCAAAAAATATTTTGATAGATATAAGCAACCAGTAATAGCATGGTTTCACAATTGCTACACTTTCTAAAGCATTACAGTGTATCATCATGTTATATGATAGTACATATTTAAAGCAGTTTTCAAAATAAATGAAATGTGATATGGTAAATTCTAAGTAGTTTAATTTATGTGCATGAGACACAGTTACCCTTCAAAATTCACCTTCCCAAACTAAAAAGTTGTTAGTTTACCTTAATTCATTGCAAATTATTTTTAATAGTTAACTACTTAGTTCTCTTGCACTCTCTCTCTCTCTCCATACACAGAGACCTTATATAGTTGACTTTTAAAAGGCTATATTCTCTGCATATGGAGATAGACAGCACGAGAGAACTAAGTAGTTAACTGTCACAAATATATATATTTCAGTCAGTCATTATCACTTGCAAAAAAATGTGACAGGCTCTTAAAATTTATCAGAGTATAGTTTTGAAAGAATTTACTGTTACAAAGACAATTGTTTTTTATTTCTGAAGATATCAGTGGCTTATGTAATAACTAAATGATCAATTGAGCTTTATTTCAATCATTAAAAAATGATACTACTTCATTACTAAGATGTAGACACACACATGCACATTTTAATAAATCACTAAGCTATAGAATATTTAAGAGAAAACAAGGTATTATCTTTGGATAAATTGTGTTACAAGATTGTGATTCACAGATATTAAAAAATGGGTAGCATTTGCTCTCCACCACAGACGTGACCCAGCCAATACAAGTTTGTGACCAAGACAAGTTTGTGAGTTTTCATTTCACATTCTGCATGAATTTGTAAGTATACTTCTGGAAATCATGCATAAAGTGAGCCACTCGATATACTTATTTCATTTTCCCTACTAGCACAAGGCATAAGAAATTTCAAATGAATATCCATTATTATTATTATTATTATTATTATTATTATTATTTGAGGTGGAGACTCTCTCTGTTGCCCAGGCTGGAGTGCAGTGGCATAACCTCAGCTCACTGCAACCTCCGCCTTCTGGGATCAAATGATTCTCCTGCCTCAGCCTCCCAAGTAGCTGGGATTACAGGCAGGCGCCACGACACCCAGGTAATTTTTGTAGTTTTAGTAGAGACGGGGTTTCACCATGTTGGCCAGGCTGATCTCAAACTCCTGACCTCAAGTGATCCACCCGCCTCAGCCTCCCAAAGTGCTGGGATTACAAGCATGAACCACTGTGCCCGGCCCAATATTTTCAATTATGTATTAATTAACAAAATAATCACACGTGTACTTTTTGAAGTATTCTTTTTTGTCTAAATTAAAGGCAACTGAGTGTAATACCCCATTTTAGGGTTCTGAAGAGATAATTATGCTCTATTATCATGATGAAATGAAAAACACAGGAATAAAGCATATCTGACACTTTGCTTAAATATTCATTGCATCAGCTAATGGAATTGAGCTTCCATTGTGCTAGAGATTGTGGTGAGAAGATACAAGGGTGTAAAGATCCTTGCTTAAGAAATATATGTTTACAAACAGAAATGAATACTTAGTATAATCATAAAATATCTTTAACACTAATTCATCTTCATGAGGATGTTCAAATAATGGTGAGATAATCTCAGCAGAGAGAACAATAGATTTAGAAGGTAATCTCAGCAGAGAAAACAATGGATATAGAAGATTGCATTTTAGGCCTAACTTTTTCAGTAGTAGCCAGAACATATGATTTCTCTGCATATCCATTTCATTGTTTGTAAGATGAGGAAGTTAAAATAGATTAACAATTTTTAAAAGAAAAACTATCCTGCCCAAAATATTATTAGTTAAAATA